AAAAGGATGTTCAGAAACTGCAGACAATTGTAAAGCTGTCAAAAATGATCTTTGGGCCAGAGAAAGCATCACAGATGCAAAGAGTTCAACTTATCTTATTAAAGGAAGACAAAAGTTGGGATGACTGTCATGAAGGTATTTCATGCTAGGAAAATATAAGGTAATAAAGGACTATAACAGTGGCATAAAAGAGGATATATCAAGTTTTAGATTAAAAGTTGAAATGTTTTGCGTGTGACTGTATTCAACCAGTGGAACAAACTATCAAGAAAAGTGATATTGTCTTCAAAATAAATCACCACCAAGATGGATCTGCATTAGCCAGTAAGTTACGTGCTCACTACCAGACAAAGAGCACGCACAGATTAGATGATCAAAAAATCTACTTATTTTAAACACTGAGTCATCACAAATATAATTTCTGTGACTGCACTCAGCAACTCAGTCAATGGTGCATAAGAGGTAACAATTTAGTGCATTCCACTGATTGTGACAGAGGCACAAGGCCATATGGTACATTTTAGTTAAAGGAAGCACATGCAACATTCACAACGTGCTTGAAAAGCAGATCATCTGAGAAGGAAAGCAGTTTAACCACTATTACTTCAAAACAAAACTACTTTACAGATAAGTCACAGAAACGTGTATTTTGTTACAGAGATTTTTGCATTGCATGATTCTTCTTAAGAAATGCTGCTTCTCAGTTCACAGCACGTAAAACCCCTTTTCTCCCAGCTCACTCTTTCAGAGAAGACCGGATATAGCATCTCATTTAAAGATCTTGCTATGTTTGACTGTGTGTATTCTCTACTCCTAATCAGCAAATGACACTAAGCCAAAAACTGTTGAAAGCTTACACAACTGCATGCTTTCATACATTACTAAGTCATTACGATAGGTAGGAAAAAGATTAAGAACAGGAGAAACATGCATTCTAAAAAGCTCCTTTTTCTGCCTAGAGCCAAGTCACTGAACAGGACTGCAAGGGAACAAGAATTTGTTTCCCCTTTTACCAAGGTGTGAATAACTACAGCCCCTCTCTACAGTCCAGAGGACTGCTCACCTGCTTTACTGCTCTTTTCATCTTGCTTAAAATAAGAGCCAGTGCTCTTTGCTTTCTTCTCTTCTCCAAGTACTTTAGTCACCTTTATCTAAGGTGGCCACTATCCTAAAAATGAGACAGTAACGTACATGGTAACTGCCCCCCGCATTGCATAATTTTTTGGGGAAATTCCACCTAAACTTTCAACCTTTGTTCCACAGCAGAACAAACAGATACATAGTGCTAGATACCTAATAGCTAGATACATATAAGAACCAAGGTGTCCACTAATACCACATTTCTTAGCCTATGCTGATAGAACAAACCAATTAACCTTGCTTTTGTAGCATAAAGGTAGAGCAACTCCACCTTTCCAGAGGAGATGACAGTTCTTAATTTTTAAGATGTTGCATTTTCATTAGACCTTTTAAGGTTTGGATATTTGAGAAAATGTGTCTATTGTTTCTCCAATAGCTTATGTTATGGTACTCTTGGAACTTTTGACCTACTGTGAACAATGTTAGCTTGCTTTCCTTGGCTGAGTCACATTACAGTTGCATGGCGCCTCTTCCCTCTTTGGGCTCTGTGTATAGGTGCACATATTTACACAAAATACACAGCTGTAACTAAAATATGGAAGAAAATTCCAAAGAATTGCTGCTGAAGTATACCATTTACACAAGGCACAACAGAAGAGAATGGGAACGGATCGACCTTCCAGAGAATTATTGTCTAAATATGTCAAATAAGAGACAACACTGACGGAGAAGAATCAAAAAAAAAAAAAGAGAGAGAGAGAGACACTATCACTTAGTTATTCAGATAACTGATTTCTCTCTTCATTTGCATATTGACTTTGACTCCAATATACTCAGCTATAGCCTCTGTCAGTCTTGCTCTTCTCTGAAGACTAGACTTCTGTAAGCATGTTGGATGAAAAAAGTGGGAACACCTAACAAGGATGGCTTTTCAGAATCAGAATTTATGACCAAATAGAAGATTCATGGCTGTGTCTTAAATCAAACATCCTCAGCCTGCTATAGAGCTTCATTTTTTCCTCCTCACCTCTACACCTGGAGGTATTAAATCAAATTAGTGACTTGAACTAAAAACAGTATCATATAACTGCTCTAGAACTAGGTTCCTCGTAAGATAACTAGGATGCTTTTACTTCCGACTTGGGAAAAAGCTCAACTATAAGTAGTCTGTCTCATAAGGGTTCCACATAACATGTGAAAAAAACACTCAAATTAAACAGCTAAAGTGCAACTTCGTAAAACTGAAAGGATGAGCTAATATTCAAGAGGTCCATAGCAAATAATTTACTGATGATTAGTTTTAACTCAAGTTTAAACTAAATTTAAATGCAACTTTAAACTCAATGCAGAACATACTGATTTTAAGATCGTGGAATAGTAACATTTATTCGCAGGTATGTTGTGGTGAATAATAAGCTAAACGTATTTTAAGAGCTATTTCAGGTCAAACAACCTAGTGCAGCAACTCTATTCCTTTTCCAGTGAAAGTTTCCATCAAACTTGTAAGAATACAAAATATCTAAGCAGCAGCATGTCCTTTTTATGCTAGTTAGGTTCCAGTCACACACACAGAGCCAAATAAATACTCAAGTTGTGGAATTAATTTTCTACTGTCGTCTATCCCCAAAGGAAGTGCAATTCATCCTTCCAAGTTAGAAACGTGGCTTCTGAACTAAGAGGTGCCACATACTAGCTGTTAATGATAGACTATATCCCTCATTTCTCCATGAAAATGCATTTAGAAAAGAACAAAAAACACAATGAACAATCTTTTTGGTTAGAATCCAAATAGCGTAACATGTGCACTGCCTGTTTTAAGTCAGCCTCATCACCTTCTGGAAAATAATTGCAGGTATAATATACTCAGGTAAGAAAACAGAAGAAATTAATAGTATTCTGAAGTTAATTTATATGATGGCTATTTTATTTCAGCAACTACAAACAAAAATTAAAAATATGGAGTGTCACTGCTACTAAGCACTAAGCAGTGCTACTTTACAGGTTCAATTAACTACAGAGAACATTTTGTTTAGAACATTGCAGCAACTTTTATGATTAGCAGGATATCAAACCTTTGGATACCCAGATATTTTAAACTGCTTTTAGAAGCTGACTGTATATATGATCATTCCCCTCCCCCCCCCCGC